GTGCCCATTTTTCAATTGGATTATTCTCCTTTATCTTGTTGTGGTGCTCGAGTATTTTATAAATTCTAGATATAAGTCCCTTGTCTGACATGTCTCAGACAGGAGTCTTATAACAAAAGTTTACAGAATACCCCTGGGCCTCCACAAGAAAAAGACTGATAACCCAATTACAAAATGGGAAAAAGACACAGAAAGAATTTTCACAGAGGAAGATATTCGAATGGCAAACAAACTTATGAATAAATGCTATTCTAGCATTTTTGCTGGAAGCAGGAGTGGCATCCACTTCCGAAATGGCTTGCCTCCGGAAACTCTATGTACGAACAGTGCTCAGGCTGTTCATTCATAGGGTCGCTATGAGTCGTCTACGACTCAACGGCATCAAACAACAACAACAGCCATTTTTTAACAATCCACAGTAGTATTTTCCTTTAATGTGATATTAATGATATTGTTCATTAAATAATTAGCTCCTTGAAAAGTAAACTCTCAAAATACATTCGTTTTCATTGCTTGTAAGCATCACTATTACTATCATTACCTCTCATCTGTGAAGATGTCTAACTGTAATGTCTTGCATGTTGAAAACTCTAGATCACAGCAGAACATCATATGACATAGTGATGGGAAATGATACAGAGTGAGCACAGCTAGAGTCTGGATCATCCTAATGATAATCAAGATGCCATTCACTCTCAAAATGTGTTGTTGTTGAGGAAGAACCCACTCACAGCTGATCCTCCAGTGGGTTTTCAGAGGCTGTAAATCATCTTCCTCAGAGCAGTTGATGGATTTGAACCTCCTGCCTTAGTATTGACAGCACAACTTCATACCCACTAGGCCACCAGATGCCACAGGACCAAGCACTATTGTGTCCTGTTGTATATGGAGTCGCCAAGAGTTGCGGCCAACTTGATTACAACTTATAATTGTTTCAAGAATAATGCTTATCTACCAGCTACTGACCATTTTAGAAAGTCCTTTGTTGGCTGAGTCAGGAATGCATTCAGAGTAAAATTAGTCACATAGGAAAACTAATGACATTTGGTCTGAAAAGACTTCTCAATGTCTTTAGATTTAGGTCTATTCAGAATAGCATTCCTGAAGAACTGGGTGGGCAGGGTCATCTTTATGGGCCGTAAGGAGAAAGTGCTCATAATCAGAATCATAGAAGATGTTTCCTCCAGTTGAGAGCTTCCATTCAGGAAGCAACCAGCTAAAGTGGGAAACTGGGGGAAAGTCCCGCCGTGGGAAGGGGTTGCTGAAACAGCTGCTGAGATTGTTGATTTGTAAGCAATGGTGTCCACTCTCAGAGGCTGCCTCTGCTCAGTGCTCCTGCCCTCTTCCTCCTTCTCCACAGAGTGTGCACGCGTGTTCCACACTGGAGGGGCAAGGCTGGTGCTGTGTGCAAAGAATTGGGAAGGGCTAGAGAGCCTGTACGACACCTTGGTCAGCGTGGCTGACCCCAGAAAGGTAAGGTCTTCCAGCCATTAGGAGATTTGTGTATCCCTGGGCACACTTAGGTTTCAATACTTGATAAGAGGGTGGCTCTTAGACCAAATGGACTTCTTTGACGGGATGACATTGCATGAAATTTGGGGAATGTGATGGTCCCATTGATCTCAACATAATCACATCTTCCAGTCCCTGTGACCATTCAGCATGCCAAAAAATCTGTTCTTTATCCATGGCACTGTTGTCGCCACTGCCCCATTCCATTTAAATCCTACTGAGAAGGTCCAGAACATAAGGAAGAGCATAAAACCAGTAAACCGGGTGTCACATACTCTAATCCAACCCCTGGTGATACCAAGTGTGTCAGAATAGAGCTGAGTTTCATAAAGTTTTCAATGGTGGATTATTCATAAGTAGAATACCAGACCTTTCCTCCCCCTAAGGTGCTTCTGGGTGGATTCAAGCCATCAAACTTTTGGCTAGTAGCACTTAAATTTGTATGCCACCCAGCGGCTCCTACGGCCTGTCCCTAAATAGGGGTTTCATAAGAAGTATGGGCGTTTGTAATACACTTATGACTGATTTTTAAAATAATATTATTTCAGGGTTTTTTTTCCCAAGTCAGGGAGGTTATATTCTGTTCGCAATGGTCACCGAGGAGGTGAATTCTGATTTCAATGTGGTTTCCATTTTCAGAGCATTTCTGGAGTATTGTTTGGGGAATTGCATCCAGAATTCTCTTTACATTTAAGAAGGGGGGTGGGGAGAAAAGGTTTTGCCCTTGAGATTGAATTTGGATTGTGGAAAGAGCTGAAAGTAATTCAGAACTAAATATGGTATTTGAAAAGATAGCTCATGGTATTCTCTAAAAAATATTTCTTGGGATGTTAGGGTCTGGTTGAAAACAAGGCTCGGTGGTGAATTGTGTAAGAAATACTGAGTTAAAGAAAATTATCTAGTTTCTTTATTGCAGAACTTTTGGTATGCTAATGTTGAACATTACCACCAAGACCATATATAATGAATCATTTGTGTTTCCAAACATGTTTCATCAGGGGACCCACTTTTAAGGCTGTTTGTGAAACACTGCACTTATCACATATATATAAAACATGCACCTCTGTTTCCCCCTCAGAATCATGAGAGACTTAATGGAATTGAGTATCTAAGGGTGAACACAGTGTCTGAAGAGCAGTAGGTGCACTCAAACTATCTTGCCAACTTTACCATTTTGTTCAAAAATGAAACATGGGTACAAATTACTGTTGTTAAAAATAAAAAATAAAAAAATTTTAAAAATCACCAAAATTTCAACGTAAACTATTTTTGAGCTCCTCAAAATCAAAGCAAGATACTTCTTTCAATTTCTCTCTTTGACACATTTCTGTACACTGATTCTAGAAAAAGTAAATGGTTCTAAGCTAAGTACTGAGGGCTACAAAGCAAAAAGGAGGGGAAATAGAGAGTAACCACTGGCAAATCTCAGCATGATTGAATGAACTCTTCTATCCACCTTTTATTGAGATCAAGGGTATCTATTTGCAATATGGTCTCTGCCCCTGAACCCAGTCTCTTGAAATTCAAATTCAGTAAGGCTGACTTCCTGCAGGGGGGAAAAAGGGTGGGGTTTTTTTTTTGGTGGGGAGGTTTACTTAGGATGAGAGAAAAGCTGTTAATGAACTAATTTTGAACTATTTCTTTAAAGTGAATGTTTTATTTTGTGTGTTAAACAAAAAAACACCACCAAAGTAAGATATCTGCTATCAGTTTCTCTCTTTGAGACAGTGTTAAATTTTCTTGCTGGCTTATAAGCCAATTTGGAAGATGCTTTTTAAAAAAAGCTCATTATTAACATTTTAATACTTTATGTCAGTTTCTTTTGGTTATTAGAAATTAAATCAAGATAAATTCAAGAAATTCATTTTTCTGCAAATAAAATATATGTACTATCCATATGATAATATATGATGTAGAAGTAAAGACAATTAGAAAAAAAGAAGCAGCTCAGAAGTGGTATAAGGCATGATGTTACCACTAGATAAGTGCATGGCCTCCAAAAGTGACTACTGTTGTGACACCCACACACAAACCAGTGGAGCAGCCAATTCAAAAAAGATACTCTAAGTTTCCAAGAAGAAAGAGGAGTTTCTTTTTAAGAGACAATGGGGGGGCGGGGGGATGAGAGATAGAAAATGGCAAAGACCAGCAGTAATGCAGGCTGCCATTTGGGGTTTCTAACTTGCCTCCCATCAAGTGTCCAGTGTATGGGAAAGAGAAACAAAAGCTAAAAGAATAGTAGTAACCAGCTAGCCTATACTAAAATGTTAAATGTCTTGTATAGCAAATCACTTCATCAGTTTGGATTGTTTAGGTGTTCTCTCTTCCTGTCAGTTCAGACATTCAGGTGTCACAATGAAGGTCATTAAAATGGTCTCTTGTGATAACTCAAACCTATTGTACATGTGCCAAGCGTTCCTATCCTAATTAGGAAGATAAGTTGAAATCTGGGGTTCATAACTAGAAAGTATGAGATACATGGAATGGCTACAAGAAAGACAAAACAGAATTAGTACTGCTAATTAGCAGGAGTGGCATCCACTCCCACAACAGCTTGCCTCCAGAAGCTCTATGAACCTGGAGAAAGGACAAAAGTTATACAGGAGGTGTCCAGGACTTTCGTTCATAGGGTCGTTATGAGTCACCTGCGACTTGACGGCACTTAACAACAAAAACAACTACTATTGGCTGGTCTTCCCGCAAGGTGCATTTGTAAATTTATAAATGTTATCCACTTCAAGCTGAAATTATAAATTCTCTTGGATTTAGAAACTTGAGCACTTTTATAAAAAGATTCACCCTTATGACTGCATATTCCCCTTTAGATATGTATTTTTGTAGCTTTCCTGATCGCTCGGAATGGGTTATCCATGCATTTCTCCATTATCCTTCGCCCCAGCCTAGAGTCATTGCTGCATCATCTTCATTTCTCTTGGAGCTGTTTCAGGAACTCTGATTTCCAGAAGGGGTGGCTATTAAACAAATTCTAAGCAAAGGTTTTTCCACAAGAGTCTTGATTCTCTCATTGGTTCACCAGACCTTTACCCCAAAGCTTGTCCTCTTGGACCTCGCGGACATCAGCTGTGTCCAGGATGTGGCCAAAGAGATCCTGGACTGCTATGGCTGTGTGGACATCCTCATCAACAATGCCAGCGTGAAGGTGCAGGCTCCGGCCCATAAGATCTCTCTGGAGCTTGACAAAAAGATCATGGATGCCAATTACTTTGGACCCATCACACTGACAAAAGGTCTCGTGAGTTATTTCCTGTGGGTTTCTGTTCTAATAAGGTTTGTCTCTCCAGGTGGTCAGCCACTTCTGGAGAAACTCTTCTCTCCTCATGAAAAAGTTCTACTTATTTGGTGAGAGCACAACTGTGAAAATTGATGAGAGAGAGAGATATTTTATAATTATCTTACCTGTATTATTTCTACTTCTCTCACTTTGTACGTCTCAAATCACACACATAAACCAATTCCTGGCCTTGACCCTTCTCTTCTTCTCACTTATATCCATACTGCCTCCTGCAATCCTTCTGACATTACATTTATTTTGACATGCTAAGCTTGTAGTTGATCTGTTCCTAAACACAGAAGACAGTTACTCTTTCTAATCTGATGGGCACAAGTAGAGATTCTGCTCTCAGAAATGAAGACAGAAGGATTTATCAACAAACTTCAAGACACTCAGTATCTCATCAACCTCTTTGTTGAAACAGAGAAGTCAGCTGGATGTCTCCCTTGAAAGAGCCAAATAATGGTGCTTACGGCATTTCCAGGGAGCTCTGGTGGCGTAGGGGTAAGAAGTTGCTCTAAAGGCACTTGGTTTGAATCTCCTAGCTGCTCTTCAAAAGAAAGACAGAAAATGCCCCATGTGATTTACCGCCTCTGAAAATGTACTGGAGGGTCACCTGTAGGTTGATTCTGACTCAAAGGCACACAATAACAACATAGCACGTTTTTTCTCACAGTCAAGTTCTAGTGATGGTCTAAAGCCTGGGAGATCAGGACTGGAGATGACCGTGGAATAGAACCCAAAATAGAAAACTCCTCAGTTTTTTAACCAAAACATATCTTCATCAGTCACACAAGATAGTAAATGTAATACCACAGAAATATACTTTTTATAAAAGCTGACAGTGGTAAATAAATGTATTGTCATATGTAGTAATCAAAACAAAATTTTTCAAAAGAAAAGCAAACATCACAAACCTAGGAGAAACCATATGGGATTTGTAAAGAGGAATGTTGCTGTTGTTGTTGTTGTTGTTGTTGTGTGCCATCAAGTTGCCTGCGACTCATAGCAACCCTATGTATAGCAAGCCCTGCTCTATCCTGTACCAATCTCACTGTCTCTGACACACCTATCCTCATTACCCCAGTGGCTGAATCAATCCATTTCATCAAGGGTCTTCCTCTCTTGTGCTGTCCCTCCACCCTCCCAAGTATGATGCCCTTCTCCAAGGACTGGTCCCTCCTTGCAATATGTTCAAAGTATGTCAGATGAAGCTTCAGAATGTATGCATGGGGAAAGACTCTGACATTTAGGGAGTGGGATGCTCAGGTAGAGACTAGGAGTGAGCTGCTTAAGAGCTGTGAGGTGTTAAAGACATGAAAGAATCTGAATGAGGCTTTCTCCATGACACAATTGGAGCACTAAAAGGGGAATTCAGAAATCGCTCTAATTAATGCCACTTTGGTGAGCTACTTTAAACCACTTAGCAATTCACTCACGGAATCTGGCCTACATTTTGGATACACCAGACTATGAGATACAGGCTATTTCCTATCTTGGTCCTGCTGTAATCTAATTAACAGGGAAGAAAAGGGAACAATTTGTGAAGCTGGGTGTGGGATGGAAAGTGGAGGAAACGGGGTCACCTGCTAGTGCCTAAGTCAGTCTCAGATTTTTAACAGTGACTCATCGTCCTATGTTTTCCAGCCCTGCTTCCCAACATGATCTCCCGGAGAACTGGCCAAATCGTGTTAGTGAATAACATCCAAGGGAAGTTTGGAATCCCATTCCGTACGGCTTGTAAGTTTCTAAGATGAGGGTGTCTTCATGATATGATGCCAAGACTACTCGTCCGGTTCCGAGGGAGAGATGGGGCTCCACAGCAGAGGGGTCTGCTGGGTCTTCTGTCCTTTTCCATTTCCCCTTCCTGAACACTTACAGAACGCAGGGCACTCGGGGAGACACTGAGGCAGAGAAGATCCTCTTCAAAGCTGACAGTCTCACATGTGGCAACTGAATATGATCAATCCAGGCGAAGGCCACACTCCTGACGTTCAGGCCATGGCTACACTTGACCCAGCTCAACTACTGTTTCCTCCACAAAGATGCCTTTGAAGGATGTGAAAGAAAAGATGGGCATACATCACAGAAGCAGTGACGGAGACGTTCAGAGGAAGGCAGGAGGGAAACAAGGAGGGAGCCTGGATTTTAGGACAGCGACTGTTCCAAGAGAGTCTTTTTAAAAGTCCAAGGAGTTCTATGGATGTTCATGGGATCCATATGGAACAAGTTTGGAGATATTTTCACCTCCTATGAGCACTTCCTGTGAGGGTGGGGGCATGCCTTAAGCATCCCTTTATTGCCTGCAATACCATCTGCCAGTCTGTCACACTGTGATAACTTGCATGTTACTGTGATGCTGGTAGCTTTGACACTGGGATGTCAAATACCAGCAGGGTCGGCCAGATGTCTGCAGAGCTTCTGGAAAGATAGAACTAGAAAAGAAATGCCCAGTGATCAACTTCCAAAAAGTTAGTCTATGGATCCATTGCAAATGTTGTTTGGTAGAGAGCTGGACAGGAGCTCTGTGGTTTGGAAGGAGCTCAGAATATACCGTGACCTCGATAGCCTGCAACCTACCAGTGATGGTGAAGAAGGTGCAGGATGGGGCTGTGTTCTATTCTGTTCTGTTCTGTTCTGTTGTACACGATGAGGTCACTATGAGTAGGAGTCAACCTGATGGCAACCAACACCACCATGTGCAAAACAGAACCTCAGTAATTGATGATAGAATAGGAGGGCAGATCCCCTAACAGTATTTGAGATCCCTCTTCCCCTGACATTAGTTAGGTTAAGCCTAAGTCTTCGTGCTAGAAGACCATAGTGTAAGAATAAAGAGGGGTATTTCCCTTTCACGTTATCATGTCAAGGGGATGGTCTTGGTCAGAAGGCACCACTCTTCTTTATGATCATTCAGGGACCCAGCATCATGCCAAGTCTTTGCTTTAACATCATCTTCTACATGTTCAAAGCTCAGTTCCATCTACATATGGGTCCAACTGGCAAAATTATATGGGTCTGTCTTGCAAAATCAGGGAAGAGAGTATCCAAGACAGATATGTCTGGTGTCTACAGCTTCAGAGCAGGAAACAGCACCACAGCCACTCACGTACTATTGTCTGGAACTCAATCACATGAACACACCAATGGCAGGGATCCTGGAGAAGTGCCTACTACCTGTGGGCCAGGAGGAAGGGGGATTTGGTGTGTGGACTAAGCTGAGTGATCCAGTGGCTTCATCTATATGGACCTATACTGATAGCCCAAAGGTGGCACTTCTCTGTTGGTTTGAATCTACCACCAGAAGCTCCACACAAGAAAGATAAGCACTTTCCTCCCATGCAATTCACTACAGGCTTCAAAAACCTGATGTACACAGCACTGAAACAGATGGAGAGAACAGTATAAAAGGAATATATGATTAGGTATTATTGGCATGACAAGAGTCCAGAATAAGAGCTACATAGTAAACTGGTCTGGGGGTGGGGGGTGGGGGGTGGACAGACTGTATAACAACAAAAGAACTTCCCTCCCCGAAAAAAAAAGCAAACTGGGAGCGGGGGCAGGGAGGAAAATGTGCAACAATGAATGAATGGAAATGCATGTTCTTTATAAACTTTCATTAAAATATATTAAAAAAAAAACCCTGATGGAAGATCAACTGTGAGCCTATTCTGATTCCATGGCAATTACGACAGATGATGATGATGATGATGATGATGACAGATATATGGATACATAGATACACAGATAAGATAGATATAGATGATAGATAAGTAGATAGATAGATAGATAACAGATAGATAAAGGAAGGAAGGAAGGAAGGAAGGAAGGAAGGAAGGAAGGA